TAACTACTGAGCCACCGTGCCACCTTATGCCCCTAAAAAACAAGTAAGTTCAGAAACAGGGGCACAATAGGGGGTTTAAAAGAATTGGTTTTGTGCCAAAACTAGACTTTGCTGCTCTAAAAACAAATGACCATAGACAGTGTTTGTGCAAGCAGCATATTAAGATCTACCATTCTGCTGGAAATACAATTATTGAGTTTTATGTTTCATGACTCGACATTAAATCGTGCATCACTCTAGTTACCCATCAACAGGAGGATTTATTTAAAAGCAGAGTGTGGACTACTCTGTCAGTCCCTAGCCCACTCGTTTTTCTATTTCAAACTCACAAAATTGACATTAGCATTTTTGCAGTGGGCAGATGCTTTGGAACATGATTTACAGTCTTTTCAAGGTGCACATATTAACAGTGTGTGTTCTCTGGGATCATCTAACCCAGTGTATCTCAACCACATTCCTGGAGGACCACCAACACTACATGTTTTGGATGTCATCTTTGTCTGTCACACCCATTGCAGGGGCCTCATGTATCAATGCTGCGTACGCACAATAACTTTGCGTACGCCAGGTTTCACGCTCAGAATCGCTCACGTTTGGATTTACTAACAATGAACTGAACGTGGGAATGTGCGCAGCTTCACGCCAGCTTTCTGGCAGGCGTACGCACATTTTTTGTGCGTGTCTGTTTTATTTCCATTGGCGACTCCTCTCTACAAAGTGTCTGAGCCGTGTAATGGCAGCTGTATGAGACGGGTTCAGCAGGTATATAAGGTTTCCATACCATACATTTGACCAGCTAAACATTAAAGCACAATTTGCAGCAGTCGCCTGTTTTCCCAATGTAATCTGAGCTATCTACTGCACGCACATTGATATAAAGACACTATCTGAAGATGAATTTGCATGCGTGAATCAGAAATATTTCCATTCAATAAATGTGCAAATAAAATATGATGCTTATTGATATGAACTTATTGATGATTCTTACTTGTCTTTCTCGTGATAAATAGTTGGCAAAATCTGATATGTAGCGGGGGAAAAAACAAGAAAGAGCTCATCAGACACTGGATTCGAGCCGAGTTCATGCTCGAACGTATCAATTCATGATCACAAGCGTCTTACGAGCGCGCCACTGAGACTGTTAAACGTCCTGCAACATTTTACAGATATAAACCACACTATTTCTTTTTTTTTAATGCACTCAGTGCAATATGTTCAGACCCAACTGTGTTGACCGCATCAGCTAAACTCTCCCACTCTATTTTTTTTCTTTTGTTGTTAATTCCGGAGAACAAACTTGCAAATAACACAGCTTTTCTCCGGTCTACCTCCGAAAGCAGCACCTCCAATTCACATTCTGTTCAAAGTTTCTCTTTTTGCTTGTTTTTGCCATTGCTTTTTCGTTGGGTTTTGCCATTAGCATAGTCATTAGCATATTCATACGGAGGAGGAGGCAGGGAGGGGTTTTGTGCTCGTGCATGTTGCGCTCAGTTTCATGTTCATTCAGATGTACAAAAGAATATGCGTGAGATTCGGCGTACGCAGTGTTTCATACATCTGAAATTTTTTCTGCGTACGCACATCTACAGCTTTGTGCGTACGCAATGTTTTAGTAAGATTTCCACGCAAGTCTTCGTACATGAGGCCCCAGGTCTTTCAAGCCGCGGTCACACTATAGTTTTCACCCTATAGACATGTGAATGCAGCAGACTATAAATGCAAGTTTGTGCGAGAAGTTTCGCAGTGTGCTGCATTGCAAAGTTCAAGCTTTGTGAACTCTGACCAGCGAAACCGCATCACATGACTGAATGAAACCAATCAAAGCTCAAAGCATGACCTCTCTGTACCAAGTTTATTATAGTTAACGAAAACAAATGAAAAAAATAAAAAAATAAAATGTCAATTTATTGTCGTTAACTAAAATAAAAATAAAAACAAGTTTTTTAAACACTAGAACTAACTGAAACTGTATTGTGTACATACAAAACAAACTGAAACCAACTAAAATTATAGCAAAAACCTCCTTCGTTTTCGTATTTGTGAATGTATTTAATACATAATCTTACTGTAAACCATTTAGAAGTAAATAATATAATTAGCGCTGCAGGTGTTTCGCACCCCAGAGTCTTTAATCCTGCTGCCATTGGCCAGATCAAGCCAGTTCTCCTTCAGTCAGTCCTCGCTTACCCCGTGACAAAAACGAGTGGGCATGACAGCAGCACAACGACAGGATTACAGGCACTTAAGACTATTACTTTAACACATTTGTGCCCAATAATGGCTTTATTTCTGTATTGCAATCGTGAACGAATGTTTTTACCCGGATCTTCTAAGTGAACTGGTTAAACTAATTCACCAAATCAAACTGAATCATTTGAAATGATTTGCGTCTCCAGTAAGCACTTATCCACACACTACTTACTTTTAACAGGCCTAATACCCTCCTCTGACTCAAAATAATCCAATATATACTCTCATTCAGTTATTAGAACAGTAACGTTACACTGAGATTAAATTTGAGAAGCGGTGAACTAATAATACTGCGCATGCGTGATTCAGTGAACCAAACACAAACAGTACATGACAACCTGCTGTGACTGAACTAAATTTGAACAACTGCACCGCAGGTAAACTGAAGGCTTAAATAAGAGGATCTGGTGAAAAAACATAAGTTCATTCCTTAACAGAAAACTGTAATGGAATTTAAATAAGAGAATCATGATTCTGTTGGGTTGCAAAACTTTACTGTAAGACATTTCTGAGATCATGGTGATGTTTTAACTGACTGCAGTCACGATTGCTGAACATAAATTTGGTATGTTAAGTCCAAACATCCACGTTAAATATCTGAACTTCCCATCAGTACTGTGTACTCAGAGCAGCCTTGCACACATATTGTACTTAAGGCTGCAATCTTGTGGGCTGCTGTATTTGAATTTGAGGATGGATATGGTAGTGGTAGATCAGGGGCGTAGTCCTTGCTATATGCACGTATACTCAGTAGGCCTACTTTTTTCCACAAGCTGTTTGGGTATTGCGACTTCTGAGAATCATAGCCTCAGTATACTTGCATGTTTTGGTTATTAGAATTCCCTAATTTTTGTGTATTGAGTTTGAGTATTTGAGTTTTTTGAAGATCACAACAAATCAGCTGAATGATGTCTTGCTGAAACGTTCAAGTAAAATTATAAAACAGCATGGTCGTTGCTTTAGCCCTCCTATATTTCCATTCAGCAGCCCCGGAAACTGATGTTTAGTATATCAAATGAATCAAAGACACATTTACTTTCATCGTTTCTTTGCCTACTTTTGGATAAATTTGGATTGGGTGAGTAATAGTACACCATTTTTTTATTTTAGGACTACACCACTGTGGTAGATGATAGTGTTTATGTATCCTCTAAATACAGGTTCCAAAAAAATGTTTGGTTGAGTTTTTATTATACAATATTTATTCTATTGATTTTGAATCTTGCACCTTACAAATATCTTTATTTATATAAAAAAACTAAAATTAATACTAAAACTAATAAAAACTAAACTAAAACTAAGTAATTTCAAACTATAGAAACTAATAAAAACTAGTAGATCTGCCTCTAAAAACTAATTAAAACTAACTGAATTTGAAAGCAAAAAGTCAAAACGAAATAGAAACTAAAACTAATGAAAAATTCTAAACTATTATAACCTTGCTCTGTACAGAAATTGAAAATATGGACCAATTGCTTACTTTTTAAACGTCTAATCATCTTGTTTAATCCCACCCCTTCTCGCAAGATAAGTCTATGAGCTGATGACCTAAATCAGGTGTGTTTAGAAGGAAACAGGGAAAATGTGCAGAGCTGGTGGTCCTCTATGAGCGTGGATGAGAAACACTGATCTAACCCATGACCGTTGCACTACTACAACACAATTCTGGATTTTCCAGTAGTTTACAATTCTATCCCGTTATCATGTCAAAAAGGTATTTTCCCGTATTTCTTCTGTATTGTCAATCTTTCAACGAAGGGTGGCAAATTATAAACATTAAAGAGCTGATCCTCCGTAAAGGCAACCAATAGCGCTGAAGAGCCCTTGCTCTTAAATGTGAATCTGTTCTGTACTTTCATATTGTTTATAGGCATGAAAACTCTTTGAAATAAATATAAAAATGATGGGATTCCCTTCCTTTCCATTACAGGTGCCAATGCCCCTCCTATGCAAACCTCAAAACAGTCAGTTCATGTAGCGGTGCGTGACTGTCAGATGCGCTCCATAGTGATAAATAGTTGCTGTTTCCCAAATGGATTCTGTACACGCAATTTAAAGTGGAGTGAAAGTGAAGGGTTTTGTGTACGTGTTTGAACAGACATACATATAATAATAATAATAACCTCTAAACATGTAAATCTTGCTGTTTTTTCTTTTAAACACAACAAATTTTGTTTTAAATGAGCATAAAAAATTGAATGCTCTCATTATAGACCTGTGCATTTTTAAAGTGACACCTCTGTTATTTAATGTGATCAAACGAAGCAAGGGGGGAGGCTATCCCTTATTTTCACATCTCAGTGTTGACAGGTATGAGCTAAATTAATGCCTGATGTTGATAAAGGGGCACAATGTATGTCTTATTTGCAGTAGGGGCACTATCATCGTATGCACTCCTATAACAAATGACCTATACATAATAAGATATTCCATGTTATGACCCCTTTAACACCTAAGAATAACTATTAATAGACCCAATAGCAAATATTTGATTTGATTTGTGTAATTAAATATAGTGGTAGCTACATTAGATATATATAAAGCCAAAGTCGAAAGGATGTGCACGATCTGGCACTGTGTAAACACTTAGAAACCACTTCCTCTGACATCAAGTCTTTTAAATGGTTTGACTTTAAAAGATGCCAGAGTACTTCCTATTCATTACCATTTATTGCTTAGCCATCTCTTTGAAAACTTTAAACAACTTTGGAAGAATTAAATGAATTTATTAGTTAGGGGAATGTGCTCACTTTCTGTAGTTGACCCAGGGTTTCGCAGTCACAAAGGGTCTGAGCAGCGTTTGAACTCTGCTCTCCCAGCACCAGAAAGTGGGGTAGTATGTCTCTGAAACCACGGGGCATTGGTCCCTCAGGAACTGATGAAACTTATTTCCTCCAGCTATCAGTAGAGGTTTCTGCAAAAACAAAGTGCACAGAGGTTGGTATTTATCTTGAAAAACATAACTGTGTGAAAACTGCTGAACTTCTTTTCTATATTATACAAGCTGAACTTATATCATATATAACTTAATGATGTTAAATAATCATATTGATTATTGCTATTATCACTGATACTATTTTATTATAAATGTGCATTTAATATAAATAAAACAATTGTTTAATTGTCATTTAAATAATATAAAAATACACTTTAGGAAAAGCAAAACTTGTAAATTTAAAAACAGATTTTTTTTTTTTAAAACAACCACTTAAAACTTATACCTACTTCTACTTTCTTTATTTTTTACCACAATTATGATTACAGGGTTTCTGCAGGTTTCACCAAATCAAATTTAAGATTTTTTAAGACCAGGAAGATAGAAATTTCAGACTTATAAAGGGCTAGACGCTAAAGATTTTTAATGGCCCATCAAAATAAAAATTTAAAAATTAAAAAAAAAAACATAAAAGAAAGTAGTAATTTATTAGCCACATATTTTAAATAACGTGTCAAAACAAGCAAAACTTAGTTGTATACATACCGTTGAATTCAGAATTATTAGCCCCTTGTTTATTTTTTCCCAATTTCTTTTTAACAGAGAGAAGATTTTGACAAAACATTTCTAAACATAATAGTTTTTATTTTATTTTCGCCATGTTGAAAGTTAAAAATATTTTACTAGATATTTTTCAAGACCCTTCTACACAGCTTAAAGTGACATTTTAAGGCTTAACTAGGTTAATTAGGTTAACTAGGCAAGTTAGGGTAATTATCAAGTCTTTGTATAACGATGGTTTGTTCTGTAGACAACCGGAAAGAAATATAGCTCAAAGGGTCTCATAAATTTGACCTTTAAAATGGTTTTAAATTTTAAAAACTGCTTGTATTCTAGCCGAAATAAAAATAATAAGACTATCTCAAGAAGAAAAATTATTATCAGACATATTGTCCTTGCTCTGTTAAACATCGTCTAAAAAAATATTTTTTTAAAAAAGAAAAAAATCAAAGGGGGGCTAATAATTCTGACCTCAACTGAACATTTTTATTCAACATAACTTTAAAAAAAAACTCTTTACTAAAGGTTTTGAGATGTGTTGGTGATTGGATGTGTTTTGGATCAATTAGGTAGCTTTACATAAACAAAAGAAAATTAAGACCTGTTTAAAATTATTTAGAACCTACAAGACAATATTTCAGTGACTTTAAGACTTTTTAAGGACTAAAATTGTGCATTTTGAAATTTACTCCGCGGATACCCTGGATTATTGCCTTTGGAAAATTGAAATGGAAATTAATTCAAGTCATCAAAATCAAAGCATGCATAAAATATTTATTAGTTGTATTAAAATAAATATGAATTGGGCCCTTAAAGGTATAATAAATAACTTTATTTGTTATTATTATGGATTATATTACTTATAGTTTAATTACAACATAAACAATAATACTGTGACAAAACAGCAAACATGCAAAATGTGCAAAATGCACAAAAGCATGCATGTAAAATGGCTAAATTTATGTTTACAAACTTTTCATAGAAAACGTCAACTCTTTCAGTCAAAATAATTGCTAATTATTATGTTAAGTATAATTTGGGTAACAATGCAGACATAAAAATTATAAAAATAATAATAACATATTTTATTAATATTATTATTATTATAGCCATTTTATTGTGTTAAAAATGCAGTGTAGGTTGTAGATAGCATATTATAAATATGCTAAAAAACTAACATGTAAAAAATCTTAGAAAACCTCAAGACACTTCATGACTTAAGACTTCATGAGCAGTTTTTATAGTAAATTGCATATAATTTGACATCATAAAACTTTTTGAATCCAGTTACGATCGCGAAACTTATTTCCACATATCTTGTCATTGTAAAAATGGAGAAGGATGCTCTAGTCTAATAGCAACACTCATACTTGTATACATCCATATCTTTTTTTTTCTTTTTCAAAGAGAAAGAGAGTGAACGTGAGTTCTTTTGAGCTGTAATACCCATTTCAAGACATTCCGACAGCAATATACACATACAGAGCTCCGGATTGAGTGCAGATAAAACTGACAGCATAAACTGACGTAATACAGCCCTTTTGAATTATGACATCACTAGCCGGTAGCTCTCGTGCGCTGATTGGCCCTGTCAACCGCTGCATATATGACCCAATCACGTGCACGAGCATCCGAATCGCAACGTTCATTTATAAATGAACGTGAACACCAGCGAGTCCGACGTGCAGTCACCTTACCTTGGCCACAGATATCAGGTAGTAGCAGGCATAAGCGGCGCTGAACCCGAGAACTACCGATAGTCCAACCCCAGACCCGAATAGTCCGACTTTAACTTGGTTTTTGAGGTAAAGTGAAAGGTCACTCGTAAATAAATTGAAATTAAGCTCCAGTGAGATCATTGCCCTTTAAAACCCACGGTTCCGGATAATGAAACGCTCGGGCTGCCCCTGGATGTAAGGATGCGCGTCCAAATGCAAAGGTGAACGGAGACAGGAGTTCAGACACGGGGAGATGGGTGGCGCTCTGCGGAGCAACTCAATGTGCTACCCAGAGAAATGAAAGAAACCCGGTAGATGGAAACGCTGAAGGAAGTCGCGGGGGGCGGAGCTTACGACTCGCCATTTCTTGTCCTTGGTGTGATTGGACTGCAACAATGTCAGTTTTGAAGACATGCAGCGGACGTACAGTGAACGGAAACGATCTATTTCTGAAATGTTTTGCCTTACAACGGTATTAACAAAATGAATAAATTGGTACAAAGACCGAAGGGGTTAAAGTACATCTGCAAGAGCAATCAGCGTCTCAAAAACTTGTCTTAACCCTTTGACTGTCCCTCTAGCAAACGGTTGACCATGATTTACTGTTAAAGTCATTTAGAGAACGACTGTTTTAAATAATAGTTTACACTCACAGCATTGTTGGTTTACAAAATAAAATCAAATAAACATCCAGTTGCACTACTACACTTGATTATGGGTTTATTGTTAAAAAAAAGCATGTTAAATGAGAATCTGAAATGTTTTATGGTATACTTCTAGGTGATTAAGTATTTAAAAATGTTTTTTAATTGGTCTTATACTTGATATTTTCAGATTTTCATAGTATATGTATTAAATCTGATACTTTTACCATAAACCGACATATCAACCATTTGATAGAGGCTCATATTTTAGAAATAAGTGGATTTGTTAAAAAATGCATTGAGTGTGTTAACTAATGACTATGAGGCTATATTTCTGTAGCAAAATTGCATGAGAAATGAAGGCTTGTTTTCTTAAAAACAAAAGCATGTATACCTTTGAACCATATACTCAGATCATTTTTATCTTAAAAACAACAACAACAAAAAACTTCATTATAATTAATTTCTTTTAATTTTTTTCTACTTTTAATGCCTGGCTTAATATAATTTTGCACTTAATTTAGACAAGATAATTAATTTTAAAATATTGAACTTTTTTTACATTTAAGGAAATGACTATAGAAAGTCAGCATCTCACCACAAATAAATATTTGATAAATATATATTTTTACTATTATGACGTTAAATTAAACTATTTTTCGTTTCAGTCCACTACTAATGATTGCAGCAGCCACTTTGCATATACAAACCTAAGATAACATTTCAAATATTCACACACACACATTATATATTTATACTACCATTATTATTATACTATGATATACTATAATATGATTATACTTTCTTAAAATTCATATAAAAAATATTTTTATTAATATAATAATAATGGCTCTGTAAGAGAAAACATTTTTTAATGCAATGTAAATGCATTTTGCTGATAACTGTGTCATGTTTTAATACTGGGTAAAATATTAAAATACTTGTAAACAGATTTTATAATGTCACAAAAGACAGAAAATACAAACATATAGCGAAAATATACATAAAGAATAAATACCAATTCATCTCATACATGTTTATAGTGTTTTTATGTAATCACCGAATTAATTCACTGACCTATGGTTTAATGATGGCTTTCTCTTATAGTTAAACTGTAAATGTAGATCCACGTGTATGTAATGCACCTATCTTTATATAAACATAATGAATAAACAGGAACAAAAAAGAGTTGATGTACATCAGCAAGAGGAACCATTGTCTCAAAAACTTGTCTTAAAACAAGCTAGGGTTATATTTCCATAGCAAAATGGCATAAGAAATGTTTTCTGAAAAACAACAAAAACATACTTTTTAAACCATATACTAAGAAAACAAGAATTAGAATTAATATCATAATTAATATATGAATTCATATCTTTAGCAATTTTGCACTTAATTAAGGAAAGATAACTAAAATAACAAAAATCCAATATTTATTTTTTACATTTATTTAAGGAAATGACAATAGAAAGTCAGCATCTCACCACAAAGATAACATTTCATAAATATATTTTGACTATTATAACGATAAATTAAACTAATTTTCTTTTCAGTCCACGACTAACAATTGCAGCAACAATTTTGCAAATACAAACCTAAGATAACATTCCAAATAGTCACACACATGCACATTACATATTTATACTATTCCTGAAGAAACCATATGATTAAACTCTCTTGACATGCATATTTAAATATCTTTTTATAAATATAATATTAATATATTATATTATAATATTATATTATAGGCCCCATAAACAAAATTGAATACTGTAAATACATTTTGCTGATCATTTTGTCATGTTTTAATACTGGGTAAAATATTAAAATATTTGTAAACAAATTCTATAATATTATTAGCAAGAAAAACACAGTAAATGCAATTATATAACGCTGAAAAAAATACTACTTCATCTTTTACATGTTTATAATCTTTTTTAATCCCTGTTTTAATTCACTAAACCATGGTTTAATTATGGCTTCCTCTTACCGTAAATGAAGAACCATTTGTATGTAATGCACCTATCTGTCTATGTATATATATATATATATATATATATATATATATATATATATATATTATTGGTATTATTATTATTATTATTATTATTATTATGTATATATTTATTATTATTATTATATTATATATATTTGCTGAACATTTCCAATCAAATTCATAACAAATCTTATAATAGGATATTTACATTTTAGCATAGAATATCTAAGTAAAATAACAAAAAAAAGAAAAGAAAGAAAAAAAAAAGCAAGAGCAGGTATACATAACATTTACCAATAGGGAAGATGAGTTTAGTTTTTGAAGCATATTTAGCTACATTTCTGGTTGCTTCACGACTTGATAGTCCTAAAAAGGTTTCAAACTAAATGTTTAAAACAGCCTTGAAATTGGAGATATTAGGCTACTTCTCCGACCATTTACACTTATGAAACTTGCCTAATAATATCAAAAGATTTAGCATGAACAGGAGATTGGTATTTCGTATTTTTTTCTTTATATTAAGTATGACCACTGTAATGCACCCATCTGCCCTACGATTATTACCAACAAATTACAAAATCAGTGCAAATGCGAAAAAGATGTGTCCCTTTACTCAACGTAACAAGCAAACTAACCAATCAGAATGGTATGTGGTGGCACTGGCACGATTGGACAAAATTTTATGCCATTTTACTGGTACATCTGAATTTGGAGAAACTCGAATTTTTCTGCAAGCAGCTAAAATGCCCAGAGCTGTGATTGAGGGAATGTATGAATAAATATATCATAGAACAGAAGGTTTCCGCGGCTCTGTCATGCCATCTATCTACCAGTGATAACTGCTGCCTTAAATCGTGTGCCTTTACCAACCAATCACATCCCATTATTGATGTCCACTGACTTTCGATCATAGATATATACACTAGATATCGCATAGGGACCCTCAGCATGCGTCAATAGCGCCGCCACATTGGTACAGTGCTCCCAGGACAAATGTCATTCAACCGCACTAGTCAAGACAGTGTTACGTGAAGATGCGGGACTTTAGCGCTGTCTACGGGTGTAGTAACGAGCAAACAAAGAAAACAAAGCACAAAGGCAGAACATTTCATAGGTAATATTACGTTTTTTTTTTCTGTTTTTGAATGTTCTGAACTTTTGTGCTAATCAGGTAACGTTATTGATGATGACAGTCTGCATTTAGCATACGGCAAAGCAGCTCCAACTCGAACTAAACACTCGGCTTATGCTAGTTTTGTTGAATAAAATCAGCAAACAATGCAAAAGAAATATGACAACGAGATGCTGCGCTGCCAGAAACTTATATTATTGTCGGCTAACGTTAGTGAAAGAGTCGTTCGGGGGATTCATTCACAATCGCTCCCTCCGTCAGTATAAGAAGTGAAAGCAGGAGATGTGTTTCAGGACACGGAATGGATTATATTAAATTTAACAGGGAGGGTGAATAGTACATTTCTGTACACGCAAACACAAGCTTTTTTTCAGGAATGCCCGTGCGGTCACTGATCCATCAATGTAGAAAAAGTGATGTAAAATTATAATATTCGTAATTAGAAAAAAAAATTACACACTAACATCCAGGAAAACTCCCGATCATAGATATATGTGTATATGTGTATATCTCTGGCTTTGGATGGCCACAGTCCTCCACTGTACCTTGGTCCCGCATTCATTTCAAAGGAGCGCTACCCTGTAGCAAGATGGCGGCGCTTTTGACGCATTCCGTCCAATAGACAACAATACGCCAGGAGACATATAGTGTATATATCTATGACTTTCGATACGACAGTTTGCCGTCGCGGAAATGAGAAATGTCATCAACACCTGTCGCAAAATTATCTCTGGCTTTTTTAATAACAGTTATGTTTTACCTTGGTTGCAGGGGTCTATACGCATATTGGTTCTATGCAGCAGTTTTGGCTTTGAATATTAATCAGGGTACGTGAGTGGACATTTAAGCATGTTACTAAGCAACGTCAGTCTAACCTAATTAATATTCAAGAGTGTCGTCCCATGTGTGTCGCTCTGTCGACCTTAATCCATGACTATTTATCACCAACATTAGGCACTGCACTTCTAGGTTTGTTGGTTTTCTTTGCTTTCACCTGCGTGCTCTTGTGTGGGTTATACTACATTGGTAAGAGTTATATAAAATAAGGTGATTTGCTTAATAATGACATAAAAATAATGCATGCGGATTTTTTGATTGAGTCTTTTTGCTGTATAAGTGTCTGGTTACCCTGCATAACCCCGTTTTCATTTAACACAGGCCTAAAGCTGCAGAATGACGCCCTCTAGTGACAAAACCTTTTTTCTTCACTTTTCCTTTTTGTTGACCTTCGGCCTCATTTAACTACCTGGCGTTTTACGTTTGTAAGACAGAATCTCTCACAAAAGATTAATATGTAATTAAAGCCTACTTTAATATTAAATTTGATTAAATTATTTAATCATCACTTAAGGACAATCACTTGCAGAAATAACTTTCCATTTACAAACATGAAAACCTAAATTAAATACCTAAATAAATTTTAATTCACACACAAACACAGATGTTGTCACACACACACACACACACACACACACACACACACACACACACACACACACACACACACACACACACACACACACACA